CCTCCATTTCTTGAGAGGATTTTTTTTTTGCCTTTGGAATTCATGCAACTCATTGGTATTTCACTTCGATGAATGTCAATAAAGCAAGAGAAAACCTCATTTTTCTCTTGACTGTTATCCGCCCTGAGAAGTTGCTGAGAAATCAGAATACTCTTCCCTCCCTTTAGAAGGAACTGGCTGCCAGGGAACTGCAGCAAGTGTGAATGGATAATGACAGGAGGAATGGGAAGAGACCAAGAATAGAGGTCACCAGGGAGGCGCTGAGATAGATTCCATGGATTCCTCAGTGAAGAAAGTCAAAGACGCTTTATACTGTCTTCTGGATTTTTCAGTGTTAAAGAATAACTTTAAAGGGAATGGAGAGATTGTTCAGTGGTTAAGCGCATTGGCTGCTATTCAGAGGGCCTGGGTTTGGTTCCTAGCACCAGTACGGCAGCACAATCCACTTCCAGGTGATTCACTGTTCTCTTCTGGTCTCTGAGGGTGCTAGGCACGCACATAGTGCACATGCATACATGTAGGCAAAACACTTACAACATAGAATAAATCTAAAAGAAAAATTTAAAGGAATAACTTAAAAAATAAAAAAAATTCTCCCTTAAGGGAGGGTTAGAAATCAACTGTATTTGCAGAGGACAAGATTAATTTTCATGCCTGTAGACATGTCTGCCCTACTCTCCTGCTCCTATTGGGAGCAGACAGAGAGGTCCTGAGGACCTTGTGTAAACACAGCAAAACTAGCTTGAGGAAAGCACATTGGAGAAAAATATTTGCAAGACTGGACAGTTCACAACTCCTACTCTTCAAGAAGCTGTCTGGAACTGGCAGGAGCCACTGGTGGGACCACACTGTATATGTCTGAAGATAACATGTACTTTATTATAATATTTAAGCACATACTCCACTGCTGGGCTGAGGGCATGTGTAAAAGCATACACTACGCAAATGAACAAGATAGCTAGAAATGTGACATAGAGGGTCTATCCTTTGTACAGCATTGGTTTTTGAGGTTCTTAACTTTGTCCTGCCTTGGCCTACTTCTCTCTTGGAAGTGGATTGTTTCCTATTACAAGTCTTTCCTTCTGTTATTATACACATGTCTTTGGCCAATGCTTTGTTCTGGGACACAAAGACCTGGAACCCCTTCCAGAGGTGCCAACCCATCTCCCATATCCACTGAAATCATTACCAGTTATCAGCTTGCAACTTACATTGAAGAGGACCTTTTCATCTTTTTGGTCCATTTGAGTTTTACAGTTTCTTTAAAAATGCTTCTATATGTTTGATTGTCTAGTGGTAACATTTTATTTTGGACAATGGACCAGGAAAATAAAGTGATCTGCAATTTCGTTTCCAAACAGATTCAATAAGCCATGATCAATAAACTGAAGGTAGCATTTAGATGTGGGGGAAGGAAGAGAAGGAGGCAACTATGCAGCTACAGTGGATGCATAGGCACATCTCTGAAGCAATAGTTATGGCTAAACTTTACCTTGTTTAATCTCTGCTTCACCTTGCTATAATGTATGGATCAATGAAAATCTTTAGAGGTTACAGTTCAGCATTCATTCAAGAGCAAAAACACATCACCCTCCCCCTTAAATTATTTTGAGTTCTCATGTGGAGCTGCTTCTTTGCTAGGTATTAGGGCAGGGAGTGGTGCCATTGGTAGTCTTCAATCTGGAAACTGGGATGCACTTAGATAGATGGAGGAGAGAGAAGAAGAACAGACATCCACAGACAGAGCACACTTTCTTTCCTCTTCTTAAAATGGTTAGAGGTCAGGTGTGGTTGTGTACTCCTTTAATCCCAGCACTCTGGAGGCAGAGACATTTGGATCTCTGTGAGTTCCAGGACAGTAGGGTTACATAGAGAGACCCTGTCTTAAAATAACCTGAAAATCATTATCGTCATCATCATCAACAACAGATAAAATGATTAATTTGGAAGGCAACTTGAATTTGTAAGCACTTTGATATAAATGGATCATATTCTAGAGAAAAAATTTGAGCTTGACTAATAAGAACCATTGATTAATTTCTAACTAGGCATTTTCCACTGAAATGATTTAATGAGGACACTCTCACCTTAGTCAATTGAATATTTTCCTTACTCTGATGCTGAAAGTCAACCCTATCAAAATGCTCCCCTAGTGCCCTCTTGGTAGAGTATCAAACACCTGCTATCTGGAACTGTGAAATGTTGTTATCTGTTTAAATGAACCATCTAAAAATGTTAATGTGGTTAGATTTTTCTCATTCAGGTGGGAGAAAAATATACAAAATTCAGTTTTGATTTTGTGTGTATGTGTGTGCTTTTTTGTTTGTTTAAAACTAAGAAAGACTTGGAGTTTTTTGAAAGATGGAGATATACAGACCCTGCATGCTACAATGCTAACATGCCTTGAAAGATGTGCTTAACTGGTATAATAGTGGCATGACAGTCATGGAGGCAGCCAACCACATTCTAATTGAATATGAGACCTATTCCACAGGAGGGATTTCATCTTTAGTACCATAAACATGGTGAAAAAGTCATGACTGGGAAGATCATAGGCACTAGGAGGGAATCTACTAAATGGTTATGTTGTTAAACTGTTTCCTAAATATTTATGTTTGTTCTTAGAGTTTTTTTTTTGTTTTTCAAGACAGGGTTTCTGTGTGTAGCTTTGTAGACCAGGCTGGCCTCAAACTCCCATTGCTGGAACTAAAGGCATGCACCATCACCACCCAGTTAGATTTGTGTTCTTTAAAATTAATTTTTATTTATATTAAAAACAATATTATTTCACATATCAATCCCAGTTCCCTTCCCCCCATCCTCCCATTTCCCCCACCAACTCCCTGTCCCACCCCCACCCACTCCTCAGGGAGAGTGAGTCCTCCCATGGGGGATCATCAAAGTTTATCACATCATTTAGGGAAGGACCTAGGCCATTTTCCATGTGTCTAGGCTGAGAGAGTATCACTCCATAGGGAATGGACTCCCAAAGCCTATTAGTGCACTAGGGATAAAAACTGGTTCCACTACCAGAGGTCCCATAGAATGCCCAGGCCCCGCAACTGACACTCACATTCAGGGGGCTTTGTTTGGTCTTATGCTGGTTCTCCAGCTGTCAGACTGGGGCTGTGAGCTCCCACTTGCTCAGGTCAGCTGTTTCTGTGGGTTTCCCCAAGATTTATGCTGTTTTTAACTTTGGTCTTTTTGCAGTGGGTAGCAGATAACACAGAAATTTCTAATTGGTCAAAGAGCTAAGAGAACACTTAATTATGAATGAATGATCTAGTAACCCTTCCCACTTAAGGTTCAGGGAACATTATGGAAGAATAGAAGGAAAGAATGTAAGAGTAGATACAGAAGAGAGCTGTGAAATATTATCTTCTGGACATGACACAGCTGTTTCGCACATCAGCTTACACCAACTATGGTTATTTGTGCAAGATCTGAACAAGATCAAGCCAATCAATATTTCAGCATGAATTCTCTCTGTGGAGGAGGGAGTCACTCTGTCCATGCCCCAGTGGGTGTCCCTTCAAATGCACATGTGGTCAACACTAATTAGACTAAGAGAGTATTAACAATAACAACAAAGTAAGGAGACATAAAATTGTGAGGGGGACAGAGGAGGGAGCATTAGGAGGAGTTGGGAGGAAGTAATGGCAGGTGTATATAATAAAAACATATTGTATAAATGTATGAAGTTTTCAACTAATAATCAAATTAATTAAAACTAATTAAAAGAGGAAGACATATATATTTAGCAGGAAAATTATGTACTTGAGGAGGCTTACTATTTTATTTGTGTGTGTGTGTTTGTGTGTGTCCTTGTGTCCCTGTCTGTGGAGGCCAGAGGAGCGTGTCAAGTGTCCCACTTTGTAACTCCCCTTATTTCTTTGAGACAGGGTCTCTCACTGACCCTGTAGTGAAGTGGGCAGTTGACAAGCCCCAGTGATCCTCCATCTCTGCCTCAGTTCTGAGATTACAGGCACGTGTGAAGTACCAGACTTTTTACATGGATTCTGGGGATTTGAATTCAGATTCCTCTGTAGTAAGCATTCTTATCCACTAAGCCATCCTGCCTAAGTCATGAAGCCATGGATACAAATCCATGGGGTCACATATACAAAACTAACTTCTAGATTTGAAGTTGAAAATTGACCTTTGAGAAGTTACTTTTTTTTTTTTTTTGCACCAGCAATTGTTTTGAGTTACACAGCTCTAATTTTTCTCATCCCTTCCTTCAGTAGGCAAACAGAGGTTTCTGTTGTCTTCTTGCATTTTAATTTTTGAAAATAGATTATAAATAATAGTAATAGGTTTAAACACCACAGAACAGAACAATTTGGCATAAAGAAAAATGAGAAAGAAGTCACAAACTTGTCTTTAAAACTCTTAAGACTTAATGTGTTGCTAAATTATATCTGTGCATTGGAGATAGCTTAAAAGCCAGGCATAATGTGTGATTGCAACCAATTTTCATATTTTTAGCTCTAATTCAAAATACCGAATGTTTTTGGATTGGTTTAGGATATTCTTACTGCTAATTCAGTGGAGGGAAATGAAACTGGAGACTTGGTCTCTTTTCTGAGTAAACACAATGACAAAACTATATCTGAAGATTGAGAGCATCCAAAAATTTGAAATATTTTTTTCTTACAGGAGTAGTCAGCAAAGCAATAAAGTTAAGTCAAAATTTAGAATTAGTTCTTCTCTCATTGTATTTCTATCAAGCCCAATATCGCAGTTCAGAATCGCTAATTTAAAAAAAGGTTCGAATTAATGGAACGTAACACTCCGAATTCTCAGATGAATTGAATAAACAACTCAGGTAGGGCCCCTGGTAGAAACTGCTGTCTAGTTTAGCTCTCCCAGGCTACTAAGAGAGTGATTACTGAATCAGGGGAGAAGGGCAGAGTTTGACACATGGAGTGATTTATAAGTCCCTGGTCCATGGGAAAAATCAGGTGAAAATCAATTCAAGTTTTCCTCATTCTCTTTCAAACTGCAGGAGGACTCAGAAATGTCGCCCTTTGGGGCGTGTAAAGATAGGAATTCACACGGTGTGCTCTGCAGCGTTTCTCCTCTGGTAAGTGAGTCCACAGTGCATGGACAAGATTGAGTAGGGCAAATGAAGCTGTCTCTTTGTCTTGATGGATGCTGAAGTTAGGAGAGACGGGATTCCTCAGTGTCTCTCAACATTCTAACACTGGCGACCTGGGAATGTGTCAGTTAGGGTTTCTGGGACATATTGTTCAGCTTTACCACACCGACAGAAAGGCTGGGAAGAAAAGCCAGGGTGAAAAACCAGATCCAGAGAAGAGCCTCAATTCCTCAGTGGTCAGTCACTCACAGGCTACCTCAGCTGTCTTACGGTCTTCAAATCCTCTGCTGCTTGTAAAAGTGATTAAAAGACAAAAGCGTTCCCCCGTGAGGTGAGAACATCAACTTCTGCTTGAACTGATAGAACTGTGAGGCTGGACTATCCCTGGTTGGCTGTTCGAGAAGAACCCAAATATCAGTCTGCTGCTGCTATTCTTATTACAAGAAATTTATCGCCTCTTGACAGTAGTGGTTGATGTAAAATCGCCTTTCCAGGGACAGTCGTTACCAGGACCAGAGCCGCCTGCGGTTCCCAAATGCCTACCATTGGCTGTGTTCTGTGTGCTTCCTCTGTGGCTTGGGGATCCCGGTTTTTGGAGTTCCCTTCCTTACCTGGGGTGTGAGGTTGATTGTAATGAGGATGACAGATCAGAGGGGCTCCCGAAGGAGAGGAGCTGAGATATCCTCAATGGGAAGGCATGGAAGGGATGCTGTTGTGAGCTGAGATGATATCCTCAATGGGAAGGCATGGAAGGGCTGCTGTTGTGAGCTTGCTACCCAGGGTCAGGAAGAGTGAGGTTGAGTAGTCCTGATTTACTGTTGCCCATCTCAAGATGGCTTTTCCTGCCCACACACAGGAACAAAGCAGGTATGGCTGACTTCTCTGTTTATATTCTGAGACCCAGGCCTGTAGGAGAGGAAAACATTTCAGGGAACGATGAGAGTGTCCCTTATGACATCACCTAAGTATAATTAATGACCATGATGTGACTTAAGAGGTGTGGATGTTAAGTTAATGAGGCTGGCTCTCGGGTGTGACTTAAGTAATCTGTGTCTCCTTAATGGTAACACTTCATTTAAAATTCTGAAAACAGTGAAAATACAAACCAGTGGGAGGCAAGAGAACCTGTCTTCATCAGCGACTGGAACATTCAGCTCCAAGCCAGGTTACCTGGACTCTCAAATCTTGCAGCAGTTGTGCACAAATGCGTGAAAGGTACTCAAGTTTACCCAATGTTTTAAAAAAATTAACAAAAATTATTTTTTAAACTATGGCAATGGGACAAATAATCCTGAAATATGATTGTAGCAGACAAGGATAAATCACTGTAAGATATGCCTCTTTAGCATAAGGATTATTTTGAACTATGTCTTGGGAAACTGAAGACACAGGAGATGTTTTGGAAAACAGACAAGTTTATATAAAAGGGAAATTTATATATATAATAAAATCTCCAGGTACATTTCATTGTGTATGGATATGAATAAGTATATAGGATCAGTTCCTAAAGGGAAGAATCACCAGGTCAAAGGGAATATACATTTTAATTTTTTATAAATACTGACCAAATTTTCTCCACAGAAGTGTTTCTAAGTAACACTGTGTGTGTGGGTTTCCTTTTTTGTTTATCCTCTTAGACTCTATTATTGGGGCTAAAAAATCAAACTGATAAAAGGAATGAGTAAGAAATCAAAGTGAGCCTGGAGAGATGGCTCAGCTGTTAAAGGCTGCCAACAAAAATGTCAAGAAAACACAGTTTTCATTATTTACCACGCACAGCTTTCTTAAAGAGAAACATGTTCAAGGACATGGCTAGATGATTGAGTCTTATGAACATTTAGTTAAGTAAAGGAGAAAAGACTTGGGGTTTGGGGGGAGGTGTTTCCTGTCTGTATAAGCAGCAAACATTATGTTAGGTTCCTATCTACTTTTCTCTTGTTAGTCTTTTATTATAGGGGATTTCAGCTAAGAGCTGTGGTGAATGAATAGTAAGAAAGTTATCTTTCTTGGGGTGGTGGTGGTGAACACTTTTAATCCCAGTACTCGGGAGGCAGAGGCAGGTGGATTTCTGTGAGTTCTAGGCCAACCTGGTCTATAAAGCGCGTTCCAGGACAGCCAGGGCTGTTACACAGAGAAAACCCGTCTCGGAAAAAAAAGTTATTTTTCTTCTGTGGGGGCAGGGTGCTTCAAAGTTAGCACATAAAAATGCATCAGGGAGGGAACATGTAGAGAACATGGGTGTCTTGTTACACAGGTAAGTGTCTGGTGATAAGAGCTATCTGGTGGACGATGACATCTTTACAAGTGGAAATTTCCTTTATAAACATGAATCTATTTTATAAAAGGAGACATTTATCATCTATTTTTAGGCAGACATGGAGAAGTAAAGAACCTTTTCTGTTCCTCTGATGTTTTTAACTCAAAATAATCCATATGCCAAAATAGAATGTTTTGAAGTTCCGTGTTCTTCACACTTACACCAGCAATGTCTCAACGTTTTCCTCTCACATCCCTGCCAACACAGTTAACCCAGGTTTTCTGATGGAGCTAAAGACAATCGCTTCTTTCCATTTCTCTTCCATTGGAAGTGAAGCCTTTAATAGTAACAACAACCAACTTCGAAACAGAACTGTTGTTACCTGGATTACACAGCTCTAACTCCTTATGTTTCCTGAAGCAAGGGGGAGCTTTAGTCTACAGAGAACTAGAGCCACAGCATTTACTAGTTTGAATTCAATTTTGTATCTGATTTTAATTGGATTGTGTGAGTGCCTATGGTGGCTAATCTTGATTATCACCTTGATTGGGCTCAGCGGTGCTTAGGGGATCAGTAAAGGACATATTTGGAAGTGTCTGTGAGAGACTTTCCAGAAAAGACTGACATGTGGAAGAACAATTAAGCTGTAGAGACTCACCCTGTGTGTAGTCTACACCATTCTGTCTGCTGGGGACCCGGGACAGAGTGTTCTTGCTTGCAGCATATGAAATGCCTCTACAGGCTCACAGGTCCTCAGCTCTTTGAAGAGGTCATGAAAACTTCAGGAGAAGGAGGACTCTTGGTTCCTGTGTTACTCTCTGTCCCCTGTCTGCCACGAGACAAAGAATACCCCCCCCACAACCCTGATATTCTACACAAGCACACTGGATCAACTAACCATGGATTGAATTCTCTAAAACCATGAGCCAAATAGTCCTTCCTCCTTCGACTACAGAAGCTCCAGGAATTTGATCCTAGCTGCCTAAAAAGCTAACTATAAAAATAGCGTCCTAGTCTTAATGCTAAGAACAAGAGGATTTAAGTTTTCTTCTAGGTATCTAAAATGGTTCATCAACGAAAAAGAACTAAAAGTCAGTAAGGTGCTTTGAAATATTTGTAGATGAAAATCCATTTCTGGATTCACCCCCTCCTTTACTCTCCCCACCTCAGTTCCCCCCACAGACACCAGCATGCTTGCCTGAGGACCAGATATAATCAGAACACCATAAACCCAAGAATAAACAGCATGATTGAAGCTGTCCTTTTGCTGATCAGATTCAGGGGAGTGAGAGCAGAACAATGGGAAAGGTGTAGTTCGTTCTTCAGGAGTTTGTGACAGTAGAGGAGAAGAATCAACACTAAGGACAAAACACACAGCTCAAGGGGGGAAAGTACATGGTGAGAAGCTGGGCTCTCAGGCATGTCTGACAAAGAAGGGAGCAGATCTTAGTGATTCCAAGTGAGACAGCTCAGAGGGAGGGAACCCACACGAGAGACAGAGAACAGACCTCAGAGAAGATCCAGGGCTAACCCCAGATCAACCACTATGGTCATGATCTCCACATGTCTGGGCTTTCCCTGTTTATAAAATGGAAATATTTGCTCTATCCTAACAATTTTGTGGGTCAACTGATGGTTGTGTGTGTGAAAGTGTCTCATAGAGGTCCCAGAACAGTTGCTTCTAGTAAATAACAGTGACTTTTAATCCAGAGACTGAAGGGTTGAGATACAAGAATATGATTTATCTCAGAAGTTTGGGGCCATAGGACACAGTATTAAGAGTGAGTGGTGCTGGGTGATATGGAAGGCTAGACAACACTTGCAAGCAGCCTTTAAAATAAGACATCTGTAGAGTAAGAGGGATGTTTGACTAGAACTCCTAAGCAGCTAACTTGTTGTTGACTTGTAGTTGACCAAGTCCATATATATATATATATATATATATATATATATATATATATTTGATAGGCACTAGAGATGTCTTAGGAAACTACTGGTGGGGCCCAATTGTAAACACTGAGGGATGCTGGATGGACAACATCCGATGTGTAAATCCTCTTTCAGGAAAGAATGTAAACCTGCCCTCTTGGTTCACTTTCCATTTGTACTAGCATCTTCTGAGGTGTTTCCAAGCCACAGAACCTGTATGGTATTATGTGTGGAAGCTGTGATGGGCAGTATGTGGAATTCCAGAGTACTTTGGGTAGCTGCAACATGGTTTAAATTCTTTCCTTAAGGTCTGGACTCTGCAATCCAATCTGTCTTATCTCAAACGAGAGTTGCTTTAGTTCCACGTCAGGAGGTGCAGAGAAATGCCTTGTGCAGATATATAACATTAGACAGTGCTTCCTCAGGGATGGGGGTGTTTTTTCCTTCACAACATCAGTTCTCTCTCTCTCTTTCTCTCACTGCAAGTGTTTTCCAAGAGACTCATGTCATTTGATACTGAAGGATTGTTGGTTTCACATGAAAGAATTTCCCAAAGGTATCGATGATATGCATTTTCCTAATTGTTGATTATTGTTCCTACAATGGAGATCAAAGCAACCCATAGGGTTTGTGCTCCTTCTTTGTATTTTATATTGATATTAAAGAGGAACAGAAATGACATGAGATCAAACCTTTTGCCATATTTACAAGTTTAGACTGGAAAACATGTTATTCCCATGGTGAGAACTTATAATTTTCAAGTTGTAGAAATTCTCCCTAAAAGGAAAATACTATCCTTTAGTATTTGTGAAGAATGTTGGACCCCTCATAAAATGTTGAAGTATTTGTCTATATCCTATGCATATCCTTGACTTAGACTTGAAAATTATTTGTATTTGTGCCTTTGTTTGTACATGTGTGTATGAGTACCTATGGAGGCCAGAAGAAGGTGTCAGTATTCCTGAGGCTGGAGTAGCACGTGGTTGTGCACCACCTAACTTGGGGGCTGGGAACTGAACTCAGGTCATCTGCAAGGGAAGTAAGCAGTATGAATAGCTAAGCCATCTCTCCAGCCCTTTTCAGTGTAAGTGAAATTGTCTCCACCTTACTTATAATTCCTAGTACAGTGTGTATGCTGTGTACATAGTTATTATACTAAATTGTTCAGGGAGTAATGATAAGAAGGAAGTCTGCATATGTTCAGTACAAGTGCAGTGTTTTCCCCAAAATATTTTTGATTCACAGTTGGTTGAGTCATTGGATGTTTACAGGAGTCTGACTGGTATTCATATCTGTCTTTCAGATGGCTACAGCTTTAAACTAGCTGAAAATCTGAGAATGCAACCTTCAGCCCGCTACCTTCAAAAATGTTACAGCCATTGACTGAGTGGAATGAGGCCCAGCTGTAGTGGTTTTCTCACTGCTAGGTCTAGCAGGGGAAATGGAGCTATAAACCGAGGCCTCTCTTGAGGCGTGGAGGGAAGAAACTGTCTGGGTCCTTGCTTGACACCTGGACCTCACTGTGGTGCTAAGTGAAACTCAACAACTCAGGTGGCCAAAAGAAGCAGATGTTTAGCACAGCTAAGTGTAAAGAGTTGGGGAAATGACTTTATAGACCTTTGGCTGAGATGCTCACATTTGAATGTCATACACAGGAAGTCATCAGGTAGTGCAATAATATAAACAGACCTTACCTCATGAAGTGATTTATTTTGGAATGGTGGCAGCAACAACAGCCTCAAGCACAAAAGAACATAAGGACTTACTTTTTTTTTAATTTGAGAGATTTCCCAACCAGTCAGGGCTGTCTGTAATGAAAAAGTGGGGGGCAACACTTCCTTAATTATAGTGCGCATGCATCATCCAAGGAACGGTGTGGACTTGTGTTAGTAATAATTCCCAAAGCATGTGCAGTGCTATGATTTCTTCAGCTTCTCAGATAACCTGTGAAAGAAGGAGGGATAATTTTGGTGGCCAATATGTGGGGAAACTGAGGCAAAACAGACCAGTCAACAAGTGTGCTCAAAGTCAGAAAGCCAGTGGTTGAAAAGTGGGAAAGTCATCACAGTTAAATCTTTCAATAAGCAAGCTCTTTCTGCTCAACATTTTAATACAACCAATGGGGAATGAGGAGGTTTTAGATGATCACTATAAGAAGACACAGCAGTTTTAATATGTAGGTTTTATGTTAGTCTACCTTAAAAGGGGATAGGTCTAAAAGCATAGTGACTAACTCAGCTTGATTCACATTAAGCTCAAGTTCTAGAGTTGTCCTTCCTAGATTCCAGGTCTCAGTGTACCACTTACAATGTAATTATGTCCTTGCTAATCTATGCCTCAGTTTCCTTATCTGTGATATGGGGATGATGGGAGTCTTACCTCATTGGGGCAGTTGTGGAGATTCAGTGAGATAGTATTACAAGAGATTTGTAAGTTTGTTAAGGAGATAAAAATCGTATATTAATCCTGTTATTTTGTGCATATGTTGAATTTAGGAAGGTTAAAATGGCATTTATAAAAAAATGAATGAGAGGGCTGGAGAGATGGCTCTGCTCTTCCAGAGGACCCTGGTTCAATTCCCACCTGGCAGCTAAAAACTGTAACTCCAAGATCTGACACCCTCACACAGACAAACACGCAGGCAAAACACCAATGCACATACAATAAAAGTAAATAAATTATTTAAAAGATGATTGAGAATAATTTTGTTGTGAAATAGGTAACTAATGACATGGTAGAAGTCAAATATAGAGGGAATTGCTGGTAGATTGGGCTATGGCTGACTCTTCTGAAGGAAAAGCTGTGGGAGTCATCTGCCAGTAAGATGTTTCTTGTATCCATCTCACCTCCACTTTTAAATAAAAAAGCTGTATTTTCAGTTCTTTAAACTCAGAGTGTAGTTATGAACACTCCCTTTAATAAGAGGTACGGGCACAGTCAGTTTGTCCAACCCCAGAACCAGTAAGCCACCTTGGTTTCTCGCTCTGCTTATTTCAGTCAGAGTGTCAGAGCAGAGAGATAGAAACCAGCTCCGACCAAGGGTGTTGGAGGTAAGGGATTTGGGGAATCTGGGACAAGGTGGGGAATGATCAATTCAAAAACCAGACACCATGACCATAAAAAGGAGACAGGAGGAGAAATACTTTAGAGTGATTCATCCTGTTTCGACACCAGACAGTTACCTCAGTGAGATGGAGAGGAACAAGATTTGCTGATAGGGTCATTGCTGTCCATCAAGTAGCAGGAGGAAATGAATATGCCATTTGCAGGACTTCTTCTTGGAGGGATGTTTCATTATACTCTGTTCCTCGCTGTATTGAAGTCTTTGTTCTGGTTAAAAAAATTATATAAGGCTAGAATCCTGATTTTGTTTATCTGATTCATGCTATCTGTTCCCTAATGAGCTGTTTTCACAATCTCTCTGTTCTACCACCACACTCCACATAAACGTGCATTCTGGCCACAGTCTGTCCTGAAGTCACTAATAAACACAGAGACTAAGAATCACAGGACAAGGTTAATGGAGTAACGTGGCTTCTTCCTTGATAATGTGGAAGTCATAGGCCCTAGGGCTAGAAGCCATATGAGCCCCAGGTCCCTTGTTATTCTGGGACAGTAGGAAGCTTCAAGTTCTCATGTAGCCACTTAGATAGCTTAGACTAAGGAGTGGTCTGAGAACCAGTTTGAATCATACTGTCTCATATAGTTCCTCCTTTAGCTACGCTGGGGTCATTAGAGTCCATAGGCACCAGTAGAAAGGGGCTCTGGTCAACCTAAGCAAAATTTCAATTTGATGAAATGTCTAATGGTAGCTGAGACAACCAAATTATCCTATCTTGGAAGGGAGAAAAATCTAGGCAATTCCACAAGTCTACAACATGAGCATCTGTCATTTAGACAATATTACTATTTCTACTTGTTCTAAACTCTGGACATAAACTAATTCATCACCTTGGAATGATATGTGAGATAGTTACCATCGTGGGCAGGAGAGTTAGCCAAATCAAATTCCCCTGACACATGACAAATTTGATTTCTGAAAACTGCTTAAGTGTTACTATGGAAGCCAGTCGTGATGATATTGTCAATCCTGGTGCCAGGCAACACTGTTTATGGTGAGGTTGACCTCCAACTGCAAATTGTTTCTAGACTAGGAGTACATGAGTCTGTGTTAGGAAGTTACACTTTTGGCTTTTTTAACTTTTGCAACTGGCATACCTTTATTAATGGGCCCCGAAAGCTGTGCTTGTAGGTTTGTTGCAGGGACTACTACTAGTTTATCAAGAAGAGCACTGATGAGCATGAGGCTTATCACACCACAGGAATTTTCAGGTGAGGTAGATTTTAACTCATTAAACTTGCAAGGACGCCTGAATATCTGATAAGCTTCTAAATAACTGATGCCAAAGATGGAGCCTATTGCTGTCCTGTGTGTTTGAAGTATTGGTTTGAACCTGAGAGACCACTCATGAGGATTGGGTATTGCTTTTAACCGAGACTGGGTGAAGAAACCTTAAGTAACTCATGGTCACATGGATGTCAAATGATAGAGCTGTGTTCAATCTTGAGCAAGTAGCCTCTTAAAACGATTCACCAGTCTCTACATGGGTACAGCTTTCTGGAGGAATTTGCCCTACTTATTTCAGCTCGTGGGGTTCTCAGCTCAATCGGCAAATTCCTGGGGCCTTAGGAAACAACGAATGTCACTGTTACTGAGGTCAGACAGGCCTTCAAGACAGATGACGAATGGACGACAACCTCTGGATGCATTTCCTGTTTTGACTGCTGTTGTTATTATTTGAACATATATCACTAAGGAAACCACCAAATTCCCCTGCCAGATGCTAAAACATTCATTCATTCATTCCTTCTCTCCACTACCCATTTAACTGCATTTCTAGAGACCTGACAACGAAATGACTTGGCAGTATGTTACAGGATGTCAGGCAGTAAAGCTGGCCCTGGGTGCAACTACAAAGGAACTTAAGTCTTCAGTGGCTGAAGATGCAGGTGAACAACTTGAGACAAGTTGAGGAATAACAGGGCTCTTAGAGGGGAAGCAAGAGTTTGCTGGGCCATAGAAACAGATGTGCTTGTCATGAAATGGATTGTGCTAGATGGAATGAGGCAAGCATGAAGTAGGCGAAATTTGGCACAGGAGACAGAGCAAGATAACAGAACAGGCTGGATGTGGGGAGTATTTAGAATCAGATCCTGAGCCCCAGGGGGGATTGGTTGGAGACAGAGGAAGCTGAGTTTGCTGGATCAGGAGTATTTGCTGAGGACTTTGGGAGAAAATCATACCACTCTAAAAGATATCTCTGGGATCACAGTGGACAGACGGTTGTAGCTTTGGGGCTTCTGGGATGGTCGTACAGTTCAAGCTCTGTTACTCTGAGGGCTGAGGCCTGAGGCGAGGGCCTAACATTGAGTGTATTTGAATCTGCCTCTTCCTCATACATTAGCTCCTTATTTTGTTGGATATTCTCTCTGGGTGTTTCTTCCTGATCTCCTCAGACTCGGGAATCTTTTTCCCTTTACCCTCAGCTCCAAATATCCCGAAGTGTCACTGGTTTCCTGGCTAGTTAATGAGAAAAAAATTCTCAGAACACCAATACCAGTACCAGTTATTGACGGAGATGGTTACCTGCTTCATTGGATCTATTTTTGTTTAACCAAGCCATAGGAACAAAATGTGGAATTTCAAGTGCTTACTCATTTCTATTGGTTGAGGGAAAGGGATATATTTAAGCAGAAGGGTTTTTGTCTCAAGAAGAACATTCAGAATGGCTACAATGTATTTGTATTGCTAGGTCAGTGGCCTCTTGTTTTGTTTTTTCTTTTTAAGACAGGGTTTCTCTGTGTAACAGCCCTGGCTGTCCTGCAACTCACTCTGTAGATCAAACTGGCCTCAAAACTCACAAAGATCTGCCTGCCTCTGCCTCCCAAGTGCTGGGATTAAAGCTGGCCTCCTTCTGAAAATGAAGTTTTCTGTGGGATCTTAATGCAATAGGGAGGAAATGACCAGTGCTTTAGAATCCATGGCTGTCTGCCTTTCCTGTCTGTTAAAGATTCATATTGTGTTCATCAGAGTATGGGCTTTCCTGTATACAGCAAACAAACCAAGGCTGGGGATGGGAGAGTGAGCAGGAGAGGAACTTTCAGTATCTAGTACAGGCACAGGTCTAAGTTGAGCTACCCCGTGGAACTGGGGCTGGGGAGGCGTGGATGAGCTACACGTGCTGGACATCATGGAAAGTCTTTGGCATGTCTGTGAGTGCAGGAGGGAGAGTGAGTCCTCAGGACGCAGCTGTCATCTGTGTGAAGGCTATTGAAAATGGCAGAGATTGGGAGTGATGAATTTTTAAAAGATAACTTGGTGTGCATTAAACATGCACTCTACCCCTTGGGCTTTTCTTTTAGAGACTGGGTATAGAACTGAATTACTTTTGATTATATGTATTTCTTTTTGATGGACAGCTGTTTCTTTGAATGTGATTCCACATTGAGTTTGGGCCAAACGGTGTCTGGCAGTCATAGGGAAGAAGTAAAATACAGAATAGGTAAGGGGAAATTACTCTTGAAGCCAGAATGGGTATCCTAGAGTCCCACTGATTTACCTTTGTCTCCTGAGATGCTGGCTTTGACCCCTGGGACACTGAAGTGACATTTCAGATTATTTTCTGGATACACACCCTCTGGTGTCTCTAACTATGGAAGTCATGCACTTCTAGCTTTGCTTCATTTTTAGTCACAGACACTCACCATGGGGAAAGGACACTGTTTCAGGTTTCACACTGAGTTGCTACATCTTGGCAAAGGT